AAATAACTTGGTATTGTCCCTTCTTGTTCGATCGCTTTTTTTTTTCTCTCTCTTTCTCTGCTTTGTGTGTCCTTTCTTGGCAGGAACACCATCTACCCATCAACTTTGCCGATCGTGCGGGTACCCTCTCAAACCATAGTCATTATGGATGAGGAGAGTCGTCCGATGGCGAGAGTGAGTCGAAGCTGGCATCTGAAAGCAATTATTATCTAATTTATTTTCTAGTCTGATGCTCAGCCACGCTCACCGGCCAGGAACCGAGCTGGCAGCGATGCGGATTGTATCTCACCCATGAGAACCTCCGTTGATAATGGCAGTGGTACCCGTCGATATAGCTCGGTTGCTTCGAGACGCAGTAATGGTAGTGGAGTACCCAGTTTGGTTCCCCGCACTAGTCTCGCACAGCGCACGCAGGGCAAATTCACCCTAGCTGGGCCGGATGGAACCCCCCAGCTGCGGTTAGCTCAGGAACCCTTTGTCCAGCCGGGGTACGCAGATCTAAACCCATCCTATGAACAAGCCTCCAACGCCAGACCAGTCTGGTCTCTGGCAAAGCCGCTACCCCGTGTGGTGCGGCCGAGCATGGTACCCACTAAGGATGAGCTCTTGCAAAACCTGGCGAATGCCCAGCATGCTACGGAGAACTCGCAAAGGTTCAGGCTTGACGTGGACCCAAATGATATCGAGCAGGATCGCATTGATAAGTCTACCGACCCGCGTAAAATGGCTGCCCAGGTTGAGGACGCTCGTTTGCAGCGCGAGAATAATTTCATGAATAAGATTCTCACTGGGGATGGCACCTCCGCGAGACAGACTTCGCGCATGTCGCGTACCTCCTCGGTCAGAGGGAGACGTCCTTTGGCCTGGGATCTGCCCCCAGATCAACTGTCGACTGTGCAGGAGGGAGATTCTCCAGCCACCAATGAACCAGAGGAGCGGCCGGAGTTCGGTGATGGTCAGTTGGGGAATCAAGATCTGGGTGCAAGACTAGACGCACTCTTGGATATTCCAGAACTGGAAAAGGCAGGTTACCCCGAAGACCTGCACCCGCTTGTTCAGGAACTGGTCGAAGATGAAGTGCACAATAACCACACCACCTGGTCGGTCATCCGTACACACCGCCGTGAGGCTCTCGCCGAGGGCCTGGGTGTGTTTGTCCAGCTCACTATGGGTTTCTGTGTCGACTTGTCCGTCACCGTCGCTAATCAGGGGAATCCGAACACAACCGCCTGGGCCTGGGGCTTGGCAACTATGATGGCCATCTACATTTGTGGTGGTGTTTCGGGTGCCCACCTCAACCCCGCCGTGACCATGGTGTTGTGGTTCTTCCGTGGTTTTCCCAAACGCAAGATGCCCGAGTATTTCGCCGCTCAGTTCCTCGCTGCCTTTTGCGCGGCTCTTCTTGCCTATGGAATCTACTACGAAGCCATTCAAAACTACCTCTACCTCAATCCGGAAACCGGTATTATTAACAGCTTTGTGACGAATTCGCGTGAGGTTTGGGTTGGTTCTACCACGGCGTTCTTCAACGAGTTTATCGGTACGGCCTTTTTGATCATCACCATTCTAGCTCTTGGTGATGACCAGAATGCTCCACCTGGTGCTGGTATGAATTCACTGGTCATTGGCTTGGTCATTACTTGTCTGAGCATGTGTTTTGCCCACCAGACCGGAGCGGCATTCAACCCGAGTCGCGACTTTGGTCCGCGGCTTGCGCTTCTCGCTGTCGGTTACCCTAACACTCTGTTCACTGATCCTTACTGGTTCTATGGGCCTTGGGTCGCAGCTCTGAGTGGCGGGTTTATGGGTGCTTTCCTATATGACCTCTTCATCTTCACCGGCGGTGAATCCCCCGTCAACTACCCACTTGAGCGCACCCAGCGCGCCCTGGCCAAGAGTGGGATGACATGGAAGCGCCGACTGCAATTGAAGTAAGAGTGAGGTTCGACGGTCAAGTGCTGAATATTCTGTTTACTACAACGTTGAGTGTCTCTGGTTGTTCTTTCTCTACATTCTTTTCCAAGGTTTATATCTTGTACCTCGATATGTTATATATATTAGCGACAAGTATGTCTGGTTGAGGACAGAGGTTAAACATATGAAGTAGACTATGTATACCCAGAGCCTAATATAATATAATACGATATTTTTTCACATCTCATGCCCAAACAACATCATCCTGGCACATTTCCTGCATATGCAAGTTCCAAATATGGCTAGTACATACAGCCCGGTACACAAGGAACAGGTAATACAAGACACAGACCTTGGAACTCATGCGGGCTGGGCATAAATACTGAAGGGAAATATATATGTATCTATTATATGGGTCTATTGAAACTCACTGCAAATTCGGTTTACCTACACCATATCAGATTGATTTGGTAGACTGATTTGGTTTGGTTTTATCCTTTCCGGTGCATCAGTGGGTCTTCCACATTGGAGATATCATTTTTCCAAGTCCCTATCATCTAGAGAGTGTTTAGATAGGTATTACAGGGCCCTATGTACTAGTATCGTGTTGGGGTTCTAGGCAGTATAAAGGACCAACAGTACTAAGAAGGCTACATTATCCGAGGTATTTAGACATGTAACCAGATCCTCCGAATTAAATAGATATATATATGTTTACACATACGTATGCTTAAAATGCAACTCTTAATCTTTTATTTTATTTTATTTTTTAAATAGGTGCATAATGTACCTCGCCACACATCTATATATGCCGATGTACACAATCCCCGCATGCAAGATTGGAGAGGTCTTGGCCCCGAGGCCCATCACGCTAAAGACACCGTCATCGCTCACCGTTTTTTCTCCGTTCCCCCCAACTTTGGAAGAAATTTCTCTAAAAGCGAAGTCTTCCATTTTGTTTGTATTTCATTGATTATTGACACATTTCGACCTAAAACGCTGTATTTCTGCACGTTCCCATCGTCTCGTGCTATCTCCCGGGTCGCGCGATCAACCGCTGATCCTGCAGCTCTGGCCCATTTCCGTCGTCTGTTTTCTTTTGCATTTCACTGTTCCACCGCCATTCTGTTCTCTTATATCTTTCATTCTATCTCCATCTTACTCTAATTGCTGCCCAACACATTTTGGACATGGACTACCGACGACTACAACACTCATATCCGCCACGGCCCTCGCCTTTGGGGGCCTCGCAAGAAGCTCGCGATCCACAACAGTTCCCTGCGCCTTTTACCGAGTCTCGTCAAGAGACTGAGAAGCCTCGCCCATACCCTTCTCCTTCTTCAAACACGACGCCGTCTCCATCACAGCTCTACCACTCGACCGCTCTACGAACTTCTCGAGGGGATACTTCCAGCGCATACTTTCCGAGAAATGGCCCAACACAATCACACCGTCGGCATGGGAGTCTCGAGACCAGGAATAACGAACAAACGCATCGCAGGAATAATTCGCAGCCTCAGGCTCTTCGATATCGTGAAGGTAGGCAATCTCTTCAATATTTGTGTTTACTTTCCCTCTGCCCAGATAGTTCGGATGCCCCAGATTGAAGATTCCAAGGATCGGACTTGTGCCGTGGTTGGCCTCCACTTTGTCACTTGGTTGCAGTCCCCTTTCTGAGTATGCGCGACCGGAGGAACGGATTTCTGTAGCCACCCGATTCGGATGGCTAGAGTCACTCGACACCTCAAGTCCCATCCTCCAACTTCTCCTTCTTCCCTTGCCCAAACACGCGCGTGCCCCTGATGGATTTTCCCCGGTGGCGCAGATCGACTGGACGACAGCTCGGGAGCGCTAGCCCAGGTTGGGTCTAGCGTGTCCAGAGGAGCCCCTACCATTTTGGGACTAGCGTGAGAGCTTCCGGAGTCACGGGTTCTCATCGATCTGGCCCTTGCTTTCCCTTTTGAACTGTTGCTCACTCGTCCATAGGGCTCCTAGGTGCTTCCGTTATGAATAATACGCCATCACAACACGAAACAGCGCGTCGTACTTCCCAGGGTAGCAGTGGAAGCCCTCGATTTTCTGGTGAGCACCCGACTTGGGCCCGAGAACCTCGTGCAACCGTCCTTGTCGCGATACATGGATTTCGTCACTCATCCGATCGGGACATGCGCGGTCATCTTGGAATCCTCTCGCTGCATCAACCAAAATTTGCTAACTTGGACCCGTCTATAGGTCCGAACGAACGGTCCGCACAACCCGCGCTTGAGAGTCGCCAAATGCCACCCCCATCCCCTCCACACTCATATTCCTCGCGAGCCCAATCAACCCACACACCTGGGGGCTCTTTGTCGTCGCGCGATGTACCTAGCAATCAGGTACTTCGACAGGGCAGCAGCATGTCGATCTCCGCTATGTTAGGCTCGGACCCAGATCGGTCTGCGCGAGAACCTACACGAGAACCTGCACGGGAATCAGCGCCGTTCTTTTCGCGACCACCTGCATCGTCAGTATTCGGAAATGCACCCCTATCGTCATCTTCCGCCGCCATGTCCCCACCCACTGCCCCGGCAAGACCCTCACCGCTCGATAACTCTTTCTTTCGTCGTTCACATACACCGGAGAAGCCATTCTCGAAGCCCCAAGGCGCCCGTACATACCGGTCTGGGTCCGGAGGAGGTTCGAGTGTGAGTGGAGAGCAGTCGGTATTCGGGGGCTTGACGCGGTCGTCGCTCTCACAGTATCCCGAGAAGCCACACTCGACGCACCCTTCGCCTCGGATCTCCACGGCAGAGCCACCGTATAGTGAACCTCGTCGCATGAGTCTCAACGGTCCGATAACCCGGCCCAGTAGTCAGCCACCCCACGCAGACGCACACACGCGACCCCCCGGCTACAGTCCGATCTCCCAGCCCGGAGGGGCCGCGGATCGCTCCTTCGAATCCGGCCCTCGGCCTGCATCTGGGTCGTACGGAAGTCATGATCCACAGCATGGTCGGTTTGGAAACATATTTGGCGAGCGTCGCTCGGAGGAAACTGCGCAGCGGGAGCGAGAACGGGCCCCCGCGCATGGATCAGATGTCAAGTTGAGCCAACCTGAATCATATCGCTATGGCTCCCTCTACAGCGAACGCGACCCACTCGATCGTCACAAGAGCGGCTCTACATGGGATCATGGTCGCTCTCACCCTCCTTCGCCGGAGAGCAAGCGCTTCCCTGCGCCCGAGCACGGGTCGGGTTTCGGGTTTGGGGCCATTCAAAGCTACACTAAATCACTAGGGTCGCAACCGGGCGGGAATAGACAACCCCAGACCACTCTTCAGTCTAGAAACAATCAACCGACTCCGCCGCCTCATGATCCATATCTCAGACACCAAGGGCAGCCTCCACGGATAGGATCAACCCCTGCTATCACCGCATCCACAGCTGCTGCATCATCGGGTCTAGCAGCCCTGGCTGATGAGGGACGACGTAAAGGAAACGATGAGCTGCTCCATCATCGCAGCCTACTGGCTGTTGGGGTTGATGGGAAACGCGGTGGCCGTGCATCGCCTCTTCCCCAAGCTGTACAGGGCGCTCAAGCTCCATACATTGGTCCCACTGGTGAGCCAGCTATCAAGAATGAACTGGGGCGAGTGTTCTCCGGTATAGGCAGCGGCGTTGGTGGTGTCACCGCGGCTACTGGTGGCAGCGGACCGTCGACACCTTTGGGCTCTAGTCCTTTTAAGCGCGATAGCTTTACAGGTCGCTCGATCAATGGAGAAGGGATGGATGAGGCGTCTAAGCTTGCTCGACCATCCTCTGCAGCCGGCAGACGGTCAAGAAAGTCGCGCGAAGAAGAGCAGATGGAAATCGAGGCCAATGACGCCCGAGGCATACTATCAGCACGTAACGCCCGTCGCGCCCGGCATTCACACCACCATCACCATCAGTATGTTCTACACCATCAGATACAGCTCGTGTCGTCAGTATGCTAATTTTCCTCCAGCCACCACCACCATCGCCACAAGGGAGACGAAGAGGCGGCTACCCTGAGCTCCCTTCAACGTCCTAGCTTCTTCCATCGAACATCCCCGGCAGAGCCTCCTGGCGCGCACCATCACCACCAGCATCACCATCACCATCATCACCATGCTCCTCGACCAGCCGCAATTTCGGCGGCATCTCCTATCCGCGAGCCTCGTACTACAGTGAACCTGCAGCCGTTGCTTTCGAGTGTGGCCCACCTTCCTCGGCACCACCTTGGCTCAACGCTCTACACGCCTCGCATCAGGACCCCCACTGCCAAGTCCTCTTTGGATAGCTCCAAGTTTGGATATACAACGACCCCGCAGCCCCTTCCCCGCTTCGAACAGCGAGAGAATTGCACATTTACCGTCCGAGTCCCCCGTTTCCGAATCGATCAATCCCACCGAGAGGAAATCTGCGCCCGGCGCGCCCTCTGGGGTACTGGTGTTTATACAGACGACTCAGACCCTGTTGCCGCTGCCATCCACTCCGGCTTCATTCGCGGTGCATGGGGCGACGACGTGGACGAGTCAATGCTCGATCTCGAGATCAAAGATACTTACCAGCACGCACCACTGCCCGAACCCACTACTGAAGGCAACCCCCCGGCCAAGGGTCCACGCCTACCACCGATACCCCCAACTGACAAGGACCTGCACATCACCCTGCTAGTTCTTCCCCGCGTGGCCCAGTATGACAGCACTCTCATGTTCGGGCTGAAGTCCCGCAAATGGGACGGTCGCCACGACGGCATGAGCTTCAAGGTCCATGCCGTGGACTGGGTGGACGAGGGCGTTGCTCGCGGCGAAGAGCGGAGCGGAGAGGCCCGTCGCAAACGCCTCCGCACGCTTATGCAGACCGGTCGCATCTGCACCGGGCCTGCCATGGCTAAAATGGACGAGCTACGTCGCAACGGCGTGCAGGTACCTCGAGCTATCGATGGCCAGGATCAACCGACAGCTGTACAACCAGTATCCTAATGGTCTATCTGGGCTTGATCTACGTTGTACCAAGTA